CGGACATTTCCCCCCCTTCCAGTCTCGAACTTTCCCCCCTTCCAGTCCGGCCCCTTTCACCGCCTTCCCAGTTGGACACTTTCCCCCCTTCCAGTCCAGTCCGGACACTTTCACCCCCCTTCCAGTCCGGACACTTTCACCCCCTCCAGTCCGGACACTTTCCCCCCTTCCAGTCTGGACACTTTCACCCCCTTCCAGTCCGGACACTTTCCCCTCTTCCAGTCCAGACACTTTCACCCCCTTCCAGTCTTGACACTTTCCCCCCTTCCAGTCTGGACACTTTCACCGCCTTCCAGTCTGGACACTTTACCCCCTTCCAGTCCGGACACTTTCACCGCCTTCCAGTCTGGACACTTTCCCCCCTTCCAGTACGGACACTTTCACCCCCCCTTCCAGTCCAGACACTTTCCCCCCCTTCCAGTCCGGACACTTCCCCCCCTTCCAGTCTGGACACTTTCCCCCCCCTTCCAGTATCGACACTTTCACCCCTTCCAGTCCGGACACTTCCACCCCCTTCTAGTCTGGACACTTTCCCCCCCTTCCAGTCCAGACACTTTCACCCCCTTCCAGTCCGGACACTTTCACCCCCTTCCAGTCCGGACACTTTCCCCCCTTCCAGTCCGGACACTTTCACCCCCTTCCAGTCCGGACGCTTCCTCCCCTTCCAGCCTTGACACTTTCACCCCCTTCCAGTCCGGACACTTCCCCCCCCCTTCCAGTCCGGACACTTTCACCCCCCTTCCAGTCCGGACACTTTCACCCCCTTCCAGTCCGGACACTTTCCCCCCTTCCAGTCCAGACACTTTCACCCCCTTCCAGTCCGGACACTTTCCCCCCTTCCAGTCCAGACACTTTCACCCCCTTCCAGTCCGGACACTTTCACCCCCTTCCAGTCCAGACACTTTCCCCCCCTTCCAGTCCGGACACTTTCCCCCCCTTCCAGTCTCGACACTTTCACCCCTTCCAGTCCGGACACTTCCCCCCCCTTCCAGTCCGGACACTTTCCCCCCTTCCCAGTCCGGACACTTTCACCCCCTTCCAGTCCGGACACTCCCCCCCCTTCCAGTCTCGACACTTTCACCCCTTCTAGTCTGTACACTTTCACCGCCTTCCAGTCTTGACACTTTCACCCCTTTTAGGCCGGGCTCCCCCCCCCCTTCCAGTCCGGACACTTTCCCCCCCTTCCAGTCCGGACACTTTCACCCCCCCCCCCTCCTGTTCAGGCCAATTTCTAGCTTTCAGCGCTATCACATTTTGAATGACAATTGCGCGGTCATGCAACACTGTACCCATATGAATTTTTCAGCATTCTTTTGAGACGGATAAAACTTTATTTTGGTGGTATTTATTCCCCGCTGGGATTTTTATTTTTTTGCTATATAAATGAAAAATTCCAAACATTTTGAAAAAAAAAAGTGTTTAAAATGTTGCAAATAAATAATTTTTCTTCATAAATCTTGGCCAAAATATATTGAGCTATCTTTTTGGTAAAAGAAAACCAAATTATTTTATAACCAAAAATTATAATTTTTCAAATGTTTTTTACATTTCTATTTTTTTTTTTTATATGATTATGTTTTTTTTTTTTTTTTATTAGCATACTGTCACCCCTAGCAGTACAGGGTCACCATAGTGACACTGCACTACTTGTGGGGGGTGATGAAGATTTTTTTTTTTTTTTCGTTTTTTACGCTGATTGCTTTTACATCCATAAAGGCTGTAAGAGGAAAAATGTCTCCTTTTTTCTGTCTGCATTCCTGCAGCCATTGAAAAATACTGTGAGAGCTGTGATTGGTCGCAGCTTGTCACATGATACAAGGCTGTTGTGAATGGCCCTGTACCATGTGATCCCTGTGATCATTCACAGATTTCACACGTAGTAAGCAATGACGTCAGGAAGTGACATCTTGCTTACTTCTATTCAAGTGATCACTGATTGGCCAATCAGGGATCATATGAATCGGGACCTCGTACAGAGGTCCCATACAGCAATTGTGGTGCCGCACGCTCCCAGGGAGCGTGCACAGGCAGTGAATGCGGGGGGGCCGTTTATAAACGGCCACCCGCTTCGGCACTGCTCCCGTGCGGCCATTTATGTACACGGGCAGGACAGGAAGTGCTTAACCACTTGCCGACCGGCCGTTGTATATAAACGGTCGGACGGTGGCACTGCAGGGTCGGGTGGCCGTCAATAAACAGCCTCCCCGCACCCTGCTTGTGCGCGCTCCCTGGGAGCGCGCAGCACCACGATCCGGTGCCCGCTGTGTCCTCCGGACACAGTGAAACACCGATCGTCGGACGGGACCTCTGTACGAGGTCCCGATCATGTGATCACTGATTGGCCAATCAGTGATCACATGCAAAGTAGTAAGCAAGATGTCACTTGTGACATCATTGCTTACTATGTGTGAAATCTGTGAATGATCACAGAGGTCACATGGTACAAGGCTATTCACAAAAGCCTTGTACCATGTGACAGGATGTGACCAATCACAGCTCACTCAGTTCTTCTCAATGAGTGCAGGAATGCACACAGAGAGAAAGAGAAATGATTGCTTTTACATCCTATATGGGTGTAAAAGCAATCAGTGTAAAAAAAAAAAAAAAAAATCTTCATCACCCCCCACAAGTAGTACAGTGTCACCATGGTGACACTGTACTGCTAGGGTGACAGTATGTAAAAAATAAAAATAAAAATAAAAAATAATAATATATAAAAAAATAAAATAAAAATGTAAAAAAAAAATGTTTAAAAATTATAATTTTTGCTTATAAACTAATTTGGATTTTTTTTTTTTTTTACTAAAAAGATAACGGAATAAATTTTGGCTAAGATTTATGATGAAATATTATTTATTTGCAAAATTTTATAAAAAAAAACACTTTTTTTCAAAATTTTTGGACATTTCATTTACATAGCAAAAAAAATACAAATCCCAGCGGTGAATAAATACCACACCAAAATAAAGCTTTATCTATCTCAAAAAAATGGTAAAAAATTAATTTGGGTACAGTGTTGCATGACCGCGCAATTGTCATTCAAAGTGTGATAGCGCTAAAAGCTGAAAATTGCCCTGGACAGGAAGGGGGTAAAAGTGTCCGGACTGGAAGTGGTTAAAGGCATAAATACTGTACAGGGACATGATAAAAAAAAAAAATCATAAATGCATTGAAAACCAATTGATTTGTTTGTATTGTGAAAAAAATGTGTAAACCGAGGCATTATTTTCAATGGATTTTCATTTGTAAACCGAAAATGACGTTAACCTTGGCGTTGGTACACCGAGGTGCGCCTGTATGCTGGTAATGAGTTCATTTATGTAGGGGATATACTGTAGGTTTGTTTGATGGCGCTGGGTTTATCCTAAATAATAATTTCAGATATGGGTCACATGACACTAACTGTGGCAATCAAAGCGATATATTGAGTTGGAAAATGCACTTTATGTAGTAATTGTATGATGATTTCATTTGGTGGGTTTTTTTTTTACTTCACGTCTATTTGTGTGGCAGCGCGGGAGTTTTTTGAATCAGTGAGTAAATAGATACCCAACATGCCAAAACTGAAATTTGCGTGCTCCTTGCGACAGACTTCAGTACCCTATATTTTCTATAGGCGATGCTTCAAAAGCCCCCCACAGGTCATCAGTTTAGTGGTACGGAGGAGATCTGGTGCTAGAATTATCGCTCTCACTCCGGGGTGCGTGGCGACATGTAACATGTGTATGGCAATCAGCGTTTTCATGCGTAGGCGCCCCCGCATACGTATATTGGGTGGGGAGGGGGCTTTAAAAAAAAATGTTATGCTCTTGGCTGTAACTTTATTTTTTCGCAATAGAAATTTTTTATTTTTTCACAAAGTCCTCTACGTGATGATTTTTAGGTGACAGGTTCTCTTTAATGAGACTTCCGGGATGTAAAAGACCCCCCATGTCTCCTCTGGGCTCCACTGGACGTATCGCAATGCAGATCGCAGTGCAATTCATTTGTCCCCGGCTAGAAAGTGACAGCCATGACCCCGAGATGACGTCACACGCATCGCTTACCGGGGCACAGGGGAGGGGAGCAGAAGTGTGTCCACTCTCCTCCCTGCCCTCCACCTGCCGACACCCACCATGTCAGCCCTGGGCCTGCAGATGGGCAAGCAGAGCCCAGAAAACATGGCAGGAGCTCACGCGGGGGCGGGGCATGTAACCAGCGCAGCCCCCGACTACTTCCACCTGACAGGCAAGAGTGTGTAAAACCCCCCTCCCCCGCTGTAAGGTCCGTATGATGCATGGACCTGGCAGCAAAAGGGTTTACATATCCAAAATACGTGATGCCGGAACGCAGTGCCACTGACTCTGTCTGTGGAATTTGTAGGGTTCTGTAACGCCACATTCAGCCGAAAGGCGTCTGCCAAGAAAATTAAACTAATATAATTCAAAGAATAGATGTTTTTACTTTATTGCCTTCAAAGTCAAATTAACTACTCATCCCCCCCCCCCCCCATAGTAGAAATACTGCTACAGGGTGGCAGGACTGCGCAAAATCACATACATACACATGATTTGCATTTATGGGTAGGGGGTGCACATGCGCGCTGCCCTACCCGCGGCACTATTGGTGGCTAGAGATGTCAGTCACCGGGTCCCGGCTGGCACCAGGCAATCGTCTGGGAAAGCTGACAGGGGAGAGGTCTGTATGTAAACAACACAGGCCTCTCTCCTCAAGGACATGCTGCTTTGTATCTCTCAGCACAGCATGTCTCCCTAGTAACACAGCACACAGTTAACCCTTTGATGGCCCCTCGTGTTAACCCCTTCCTGCCCAGTGCCATTAGTACAGTGTCAAGGCTCTTTATTAGCACTGATCACTGTATTGGTGTCTCTGGGGATGTCAGTGGCAGTTAGTCAGTACCCCCCCCCCCCCCCCCCCTCCAGTGTCAGAATGCTCGCTGCAGTCCCGCTATAGGTCGCTGATCACCGCCATTACTAGTATAAAAAAATATATAAAAAATCCCCGTATCTATACCGCCATTTGTAAACGCTATAACTTTCACGTAAACCAATTAATTTACACGTATTGGGATTATTTTCAGCAAAGACACGGAGCAGAATACATTTTGACCGAAATTTATGACGAAATTTGATTTTTAACATTTTTTTTTACTGGACGTATTTTATAGCAAAAAGTCAAAAATATTGTTTTTTTTTTCTCAAAATTCTTTTTTAAAAAAAGCAAAAATAAAAAAAAAAGAAACGCACAGGCAATCAAATACCACTGGAAGAAAGCTCAATTCATGGGAAAAAAAAAACTGACGTAAATTTAATTTGGGTGCAGCATCACATGACCGCAAAATTGTCAGTTAAAGTAACTAAAAAAATGGCCGGGTCAGGAATGGGGGTAAATCCTCTGGAAAGCGAGGGGTTAAACTGATTCTCTCTTTGATGTATCGTATTTGCCATTTTACTTTTTTTTTGTTATGGTTGAACTGCATGGAGTTTTGTCTTTTTTTCAGCCAGACTAACTATGTAACCATGTAACTATGTAAAAATGTCCCCGTGGCAGTCCTCATACGGTTATTGACAATTTATTGCCTATTGGACCTGAAAATGACCAGAATTCTGAATCAAGACACACCTCCTAGGGTTCAAGTTTCACAGATCTCAAATACACCCCTCCTCACTCCCCCACAGAAAAAAAAACAGGCTTTTACATAGTTAGTCTGGCTGAAAAAAGACAAAAGTCCATCCAGTTCAACCATTAAAAAAAAAAAAAAAAGTTATATCCTACACCCACAATTGATCCAGAGGAAGGCAAAAAACTCAGCAAAGCACGATCCAATTTGCTCCCGCAGGGGAAAAAATTCCTTCCTGATCCCCCGAGAGGCAATCGGATATTCCCTGGATCCACGCTACCTTTTCCACCTACCTTGCTGTGCGAACGATGCCGGGATCACCAGCAGCAACACCAACAAACTCGGCTCCATTCTGAATAACAAAAAAAAGAATCACTGCTGAATAATAACTCAATGTTTTTTTAGCAGACAAAAAATGGGACTTGGTATCTGGACTTCCTTATACAGCCTAAGTTTAGTTGAACAAAAAGAATCAGCACAAGGGTCAGTATTTACAAGTGTCCCTTTAGCTGCTGGTTGGTCTCCTTGTAGAAATCCTCTGCCCAGCCCCTCCCCCGCAGACCTCCGCATACACAATCTTCCAGTGATGCAGGGGTTAATGTAGTGTGATCGACTGGATCTGTCATAGGCACCCGTCAATGATGTCGACTATTTTGCCTGCCCTTTCAGCCCCGCCCCTTTATTTGTAGACACTGTACTAAAGCTTCAATCAACGACAATCAATTGACGAATGGAGGAGGTGGACCTTTTATTCACCTGCCCATCCTCCATTCATAGAGAGCCTTTCATTTATAAAAGCTATAGTACAGCTTCTATGAATGGAGGAGGGAGCAGAAAGAGAGGGCACTACCAGAAGATTACCACTGCCAGGGTATGGGGGGGGGGGCAAAGGACTTTGGATTTCAATTTCAGCTATTCGTATAAAAAACTTTGATTTTGCCAATAAATACTTCATAATGAGAGCACTGATGAGACTGGAATCACAGAGCACTATGGGGGTCTATTTACTGTATAAATATCTTCATGAGAATGTCTTATGGCACCGCTCCAAGCTGGATGATGGGGCAAGAGTCCCCCTAACGGCAAAGAAAGGGAGCAGGCACCCCAAATCAATTCCAGTTCAGCTAACAGACAAAGAAGACGAACGCCGATCAACCAACCCCAGGAATAAAACTCATGGATGGCTTGGCCTCAGACACTGCTCCGGCCAATGCCACTGACGCGTTTCGGCCTGTCCACTATGGCTTGATCACCAGGTAAATCCTAGTCACTTACGGTGTCACAGAGAGGGAGTCAGTTCCTTGTTCTCTCTCCATAATACCGTCTAGTATCTCTCCTGGGCTCCACAATCAGACAGCACAGCCCAGGAAATGCAGCGGTGGTGGTGGTGGTGGGGGAGAGCCTTCCTGCAGAAGTGGCTGTTCAGACACTCAAATCACTTCTGATAAAGTGGGAATCGTTGGCTCAAAATTTTCATACCGGGGGTGATGCCTGCAGGCACAGGCACCATCCCAATATAACCACTTCAACCCGGGGACGTCATATGACCAGAATGGTAACCATCCTCCGGGGGACAGGAACCTCCAATTATATTCAAAGTACAATGAAAGGAAAAGTTCATCTTAAACTGATCCATGCACACAAGGGGTCCCGGTGATTTAAAAGCACTGTGCCATATGCATGAAAAATATTGTATGATGCAAATGTCATACCTGTAGGAAGGGGCGGACTGACAACTCATGGGGCCCCTGGGCAATAGGGGATCATGGGGTCCCTGTGTCCTTGCCCAACCTAAAAAAAGCCTATGAAAAAGGTACCAGGGGCATCTCATGGGGCTCCCTACTGACCCCGGGCCCTCAGGCAGTGCCCAAGTTTCCAAATGGTTAGTCCGCCCCTGCCTGTAGGTCTTTTCCACCCCAAAGAATCTATGAAATATTCCCACTGTTTGCTTCCTATGTCCTGACTTATTTCCAAGACATACAGACATTTAGCACCCCCGCCCCATCCGTCCATCCATCCTTGCACAGTGCACTCTCTCAGCAGTGGTCAGCTCAGTGGTGGCCTGCCTTCTAAAGGTGTCCGGTTCCTGACTTTCATATTGATTCTCCAGCTTTAATGTAGTTGGTCACTGACCGGAAGCAAGAATGATTAGGACTTCTGATTTATCTTATCTTCATACTTAATCCAGGACAAACAAGTCTGTTCAGCTTAGATTTGTGCCTTACCTGTGATCTCTGAGTACGGTGTTGGTTCTGGTTGAAGCTTCTCCCTTTGTCCAGTCTCAGCCCTCAGGAGATCCTCCTGGTAATGGTGAGATGAGCGGATGGAAGGGTGTTATAAGGTCTCTTCCTCATTAATAACGTCTCTTCCGACCTCCATCAGCAGTTCTCAATAAGTGGAGTTACTAAACGAGAGCCTCATAGTCCAATACAAGGACATAGGATCAAAGTCACGCAATGTACTGCATATTGTTGTCATGGTGAGTGAGAAACAATCTAATCTTCTCTCTGGTTCCTCCACAGAACAGTGTAGATATCGGCTGATAAGCACCTCTGTAGAACCAAGGAGCCAACGATAGGGAATTTTCTGAGGGAGCCAACAACTTACATCTCCCTATGACTTCCTTGTTCTTTATCAATGAGATCAATATTTCACAGAGATACAAGAAGAAGAGTCTCATAGTCCAACAAACAAGTCCAACAAGAAGAATGTCATACAGTGATAGAATATCGCACATAAGTTTGAACCCTTTTACTGTCCAGGGGTCATCAATGCCTCTGTGACCAGACCAAATGTTGGTGTTTTGGTATGAGTTGGTGCATACAACCGTAACTTTGTAACCTTTTGTTTCATGCCAAAATTATTTTCTGTTTATTTTAGCAGGGAAAAAAAAACTCATATAGATGAGGTAGTCCTGCGTCCCAAGTAGGAAAATAAAAAAACAAAAAAAGAACCATAGTTACATGTAAAACATGGCTTATATATATGACTCTTTCATTGATTTTATGTATTCAGTATTTGTTGGTTTGAATATATATAAATATATATATATATACTGTGTATAAACGCAAACAAATTGTTGCTTTAGCCCTTTAAATGTGAAAAGTTGTACAATCGTAAATGATAAAAAAAACAGATCATCACTTTACTGCTCTGCTGTGGAAACCCAATACCTAAAGTGACTTGTGCATGGCAGATCACAACCAATAATCACAGCCATTCACATTAAAGTGAATGTAATAGTGACAGTCCAATGTCCAAAGCTGTGATGTGTAGTACAATGAGCGACACTCCTCCAGGGCTGCTGAGAAGGCAGTACAGCCAGCCCTCCTGTACTGGCCGGGACCCCATCAGTGTAAACGGGGGGGGCCAGGCAGGAGGGCCGGTTGTACCATCTTGGGACTCTTGTGCTGACTTTCTCCCTCCAGCAGCTCTGCAAGGGGATCGGTTCTACATACTTCCAACTGTCCTGATTTTGCAGCAGAGTATCTGCCTTTGAGTCTGCCGGGTCCTGAAACTCCCCATCCACCACCCCCAGCAGTGTTTGGAACAATCATTGAGTGGTAGGTACACGTGTGCAGGCGCATGACTGAACCACAACCCTCGTCAACTGAACATTAGAAGATTAAAAAAAAGAAATAGTGGCAAATTGTCCGTTACAATTTTTTAAATATTTTTGTTTTACATTTTTTTTGTACATACAGTGACCAGAGCAATACAGTGTTACCATAGTAACACTGTGTTACCTTTTTTGCTTTATGGTTTGGGTGATATTTGGAGACAAGATTGGTAATGTAATTTGTGGCAGAGTTATATATGGCTTTGTTTCTATTATAACATTTTGCAAACAGGTAATTTTTCTCCTTCATTGATGTGCGTTGATGAGACTGCACTGATAGGTGGCACTGATAGGCAGCACTGATAGGCAGCACTAATGGTCATTGATAGGCAGCACTGATGAGGTGGCATGGGTATGCAGCACTGATGGGAACTGATAGGCAGCTCTGATAGGCGGCACTGATAGGTGGCACTGATAAGGCGGCACTGATGATGCTGCACTGATATGCAACAATGATGGGCACTGATAGGCAGTACTGATGGGCAGCACTGCTGGGTGGCACTGACTCACGGCACTGACTAGCGGCACTGCTGGATACTGATGGGTGGTGCTGCTGGGCAGCACTGGTGGGTGGCACTGATGGGCACTGGTGGGTGGCACTGCTGAGCACTGGTGGGTGGCACTACTAGGCACTGATGGGCACATGCAGGTGGCACTGATTGGCACAGGTGGGTGGCACTCCTGGGCACTTGTGGGTGGCACTGCTGGGCACAGATGGGTGGCACTGCTGGGCACTGATCATCAGGGCACTGATCATCGGTGCCGAACCGTCCTCTGACAATTGCTGGTTATCGGCAGTACTTTGCTCATGCTGTGACAGCGTGAGGAAAGTGCAGCCGATAACCGGCAACTGCATTTACCAGTGATCTGCTGTGTCATTGGACACAGCTGATCACGTGGTAAAAGGCTGCTGTGATTGGCCTGTTTCCACATCACGTGATCAGCTGTGTCCTTAGGATACAGCCATCATATGACGCCCTCCCAGAACTGGACAACCTTGCTGTAGCTGTCATTTGGTGTGGTGCCATGCCACTTATTCTGAATGGATTTCCAAGGCAGAAACCAGAGCACACTCCATGCACCTGCATTCAAGTGCCCCATAGCGCACAGTAACACATTATAAATTATGGTGCAGGAATGATTTTAGGTCTGTTGTGGTGGGTTGGCAGACCATGCAAACACATAAAAAAAACAATGCATTAGACTTGACAGGTCTAAATTATTATTATTATTATTATACAGGATTTATGCCAACAGTTTGCTCAGCGCTTTACAATATAACGGGGGACAATACAGCAACAATACAGTTCAATACAAAAGGGATAGGAGCGCCCTGCTCCTTGGAGCTTACAATCTAAGAGGGAGTGGCTGGGGGTTCAAAAGGTAATAACTGTGGGGGATGGACTAGTAGGAGGAGTAGAAGCTTCCATTACTCGCTGTGGATAGGCTTCCCGGGAGAGATAGGATTTCAGAGATCACCTAAAAGAGTAGAGTAGGCGATAGTCAAATAGATTGGGGTAGAGAGTTCAAGAAGATGGGGGAGGCTCTGAAGAAGTCCTGGAGATGAGCATGGGAGGAGGAGACAAGGGAGCTAGAGATCAGGAGGTTGTGCGAGGATCAGAGAGTACGGTTTGGGTGATATATGGAGACAAGGTTGGTGATGTAATTTTGAGCAGAGTTATAAATGGCTTTATATGTTATTGTTAATGTTTTGAATCTTATCTGTTGGACAATGGGAAGCCAGTGGAGGCATTGGTAGACAGGGATGGTGGACACTGAGTGGAGGCCAGTGGAGGGATTGGTAGAGAGGGATGGTGGGACACTGAGTGGAGGCCAGTGGAGGGATTGGTAGAGAGGGATGGTGGACACTGAGTGGAGGCCAGTGGAGGGATTGGTAGAGAGGGATGGTGGACACTGAGTGGAAGCCAGTGGAGGCATTGGTAGACAGGGATGGTGGACACTGAGTGGAGGCCAGTGGAGGGATTGGAAGAGAGGAGTGGCAGATACAGAATGGTTAGTAAGGTCCCCTTGAGGGACCCCTTCAGAAAGAGGAAGTGGAGGAAATTATAGCTAACGCTGAAGGAGCGCTGTGCTGGGCAGGAAGAGAACCAGAGGAGAGCAGAGTCTCGGAGGGCAAGAGAGTGGAATTTTTTGAGGAGGAGGATGGTCAACAGTATCAAAAGCCACAAAGAGGTCACGTAGTAAGAGTACGGAGTAGTGGCCATTGGTTGGGATGAGTATGAAGTAGTGGCCATTGATTAGGAGGAGTATGGAGTAGTGACATTGGTTAGGATGAATTCGGCGTAGTGGCCATTGGTTAGGATGAGTACGGAGTAGTGGCCATTGGTTGGGATGAGTACGGAGTAGTGGCCATTGGTTGGGATGAGTACGGATTAGTGGCCATTGGTTGGGATGAGTACGGAATAGTGGCCATTGGTTGGGATGAGTACGGAGTAGTGGCCATTGGTTGGGATGAGTACGGAGTAGTGGCCATTGGTTGGGATGAGTACGGAGTAGTGGCCATTGGTTGGGATGTGTACGAAGTAGTGGCCATTGGTTAGGATGAGTACGGAGTAGTGGCCATTGGTTGGGATGAGTACGGAGTAGTGGCCATTGGCTGGGATGAGTACGGAGTAGTGGCCATTGGTTGGGATGAGTACGGAGTAGTGGCCATTGGCTGGGATGAGTACGGAGTAGTGGCCATTGGTTGGGATTAGTACGGAGTAGTGGCCATTGGCTGGGATGAGTACGGAGTAGTGGCCATTGGCTGGGATGAGTACGGAGTAGTGGCCATTGGTTGGGATGAGTACGGAGTAGTGGCCATTGGTTGGGATGAGTACGGAGTAGTGGCCATTGGTTGGGATGAGTACGGAGTAGTGGCCATTGGTTGGGATGAGTACGGAGTAGTGACCATTGGTTGGGCTGAGTATGGAGTAGTGGCCATTGGTTGGGATGAGTACGGAGTAGTGACCATTGGTTGGGCTGAGTATGGAGTAGTGGCCATTGGTTGGGATGAGTACGGAGTAGTGGCCATTGGTTGGGAGGAGTACGGAGTAGTGGCCATTGGTTGGGATGAGTACAGAGCAGTGGCCATTGGTTTTAGCACTTAGTAGATCATTAGTGAGGTTTAGTAGGGCAGTTTCAGTGGAGTGGAGTGAGCGAAAGCCAGACTGTAAAGGGTGAAGAAGGTTGTTGTCGGTGAGGTGGGAGGAGCTCAGGCGATTGTAGACTAATCGTTCTAGGAGTTTAGAGGTAAATGGCAGCAGGGAGATGGGTCTGGAGTTGTTCAGGTTGGTGGGGTCCAGGGAGGGCTTGTTAAGTATGGGAGTGATGTGCGCATGCTTTAGAGGGGAGGGGAAGGCACCAGTAGAGAGGGAGAGATTGAAGATGTGATGAGTGAGGGAGCGTAGGATGGAAGAAGAGGGTGACCGTAGTAGTTGTGAGGGGACAGGATCCAGGGGGCAGGTAGTGAGATGGGCTTCTGAGAAAACCTTAGTGACCTCTTCAGTAGTAGAAGGTCAGAAGAGGAAAGTGTTGAGGGAGGTTTAGTGTGAAGCACACACACAGCACCCATAGTGAAACAGCACACATTTAACCCTTTGATTGCCCCTCATGCTAACCCCTTCCTGCCCAGTTTCATTAGTACAATGTCAGTGATTTTTTTTTTTAGCACTGATCACTCTATTGGTGTCACTGTGGATGTCAGCGACACCAAATCAGTCCCCCCCACCCCCCCGTGTCAGAATGCATGCTGTAGTCTGGCTGATTGCCGCCACTACTAGTAAAAAAAAGATTCCAGTATACTGTATATACCGCCATTTGTAGACGCTATAACATTCACGTAAGCCACTTCATTTACACGTATTGGGATTTTTTTTTAGCAAGACACGGAGCGGAGTACATTTTGGCCGAAATTTATAACAAAATTCGATTTTTAAAATTTTTTTTAGTACTGATCACTGTATTGGTGTCACGGGGGATGTCAGCAACACCAAATCAGTCCCCCTCCCCAGAATGCCTGCCGCAACCCGCAGTCTGGCTATAAGTCGCTGATCGCCGCCATTACTAGTAAAAAATAAAAATCCCAGTATCTATCCCGCCAATTGTAAACACTATAACTTTCACATAAACCAATTAATTTACACGTATTGGGATTTTTTTAGCAAAGACACGGAGCGGGAGACATTTTGCCGTAAATTATTATTATTATTATTAATAATAAGGGAGACAATACAGCAACAATACAGATCAATACAAGAGGGATAGGAGGGCCTGATCCTGGGAGCTTACAATCTAGGAGATTTATGACGAAATTTGATTTTTTTTTTTACTGGACATGTTTACTAGCAAATAGTCAAAAATATAGTTTTTTTTTTTTTTCAAAATTGTTGGTCTTTTTTTGTTTATAGTGCAAAAACATAAAAAACACACAGGCGATCAAATACCACCAAAAGAAAGCTCAATTTGTGGGGAAAAAAATGTAAATTTCATTTGGGTGCAGCATTGCATGACCGCGCAATTGTCAGTTAAGGTAACGCAGTGCTGTATCACAAAAAATGGCCTTGTCAGGAAGGGGGGAAATCCTCTGGAGGGTAAGTGGTTAAGTTATGAGACCCTCGAAACATTGATTGTCTGATCTTTAGTTGCCATTGTCAACTCTGATTGTGGATATGAATGACAGGTAAATCATCATTTTCAGTGTAATTCAGAACCAGCAGTTGGGAGGCGTCTTAAAAACAGAGGGGTTCATACACTAAAGGCAAACGGGTGGCTCGGTTTACAAGAGGATACTCACTTACAGTGCTCATCATAAATGAGTCCACCCCAACAGATCTGTCAGAGAACATTTCCCTTCCTTTCAGAATTCACATTTTCTATGGGACAATATACTACAAAATCCTCCCACAAATGCCGGCCATTGATTGCAAACAAAGATTTGTTCATTTGCACACACAAAAAAAAAAGTATTTTTCCTAACAAATTCATCCAAGACCATGTTGCAAAAATGAACACACCCCAATGAAAGTCTTAGGAGCAAAGCTAAATTTTAGACAACAAAATCCTAATGAACAAAAATTCAACTCCGGGTGAGTCTAATTATTCATTAAACAGGTGTCCAGCAGACAGGTGATTATAAAAGGGCGTTACTTAACAAAGAAAACCCCGCCCATTTCATGCTGTCAGCAATGGCACCACATGGAAGAGAAATGTCACAAGGCCTGAGAAAGACAATCATTTCTTCACACAAGAAAGGTGAAGGCTACAAGAATATCAGCAAAGCTTTACTTATCAGTCAGAATACTGGAGCAAAATTGATACAAAAAACGTAACACAGATGGAACTGCAACCATCTCACAGAGACATCCAGGTAGTCCACGGAAGTTATCACCTTGACAGGAGCGTCTTCTGATGAGAAGGGTGGAAGAAAATCTCCATGCAAGTTCACTGTAGTTTGCTAAAGAAGTGGAAAGCCAAACTGGGGTGATTGTTTCCTGTGACACAATACGGCGTACACTTCAGAGGAATAGCATGCATGGGTGTCATCCACAAAGGAAGCTGCTCCTAAAGCCCATGCACGAAAAAGGCCCAACTAGAATTTTCCAGGGCCCATGCTGAAAAAGAAGACTACTGGGTACTCTGTACTCTGGAGTGATGAGACCAAGATACATTTTTTGTGGAACTGATGACTTCAAAATTGTGTGGTGTCACAAAGGTGAGGAGTGCAAAGGAAAATGCATGGTGCCTACAGTGAAGCATGGTGGTGGCAGTGTCCTTCTGTGGGGCTACATGAGTGCTGCTGGTGTCAAGGAGCTGCATTTCATTGGTGGGGTCATGAATTCACAGATGTACTGCTCTATATTGAAAGAGAAGATGCTGCCATCACATTGTGCCCTTGGTCGTGGTGCACGTTTCCACCATGACAACGATCCAAAAGATTAAACGTAGAAGAAAATGGATGAACCGCTCTAGGTGAGTGGGTAAACCATACGCCCCTCTGAACATCAGCAGGCGCTGGTCCGATCCATGACCGCGGCAACATGTAAAAGCAATGAGGGTTGACCTCACTCCAAAGATGTTTCAGACAAAACTTCCATTTATTGAATCTTCAGATGTTGCAATATGTCACCTACTTGTTCATTCCATGCCTAGAAGACTTGGTGCTGTCCTTACAAATCATGAAGGTCATACAAAATACTAGATGGAGGAGTTCTTGTTGTGGGGGGTGGATTCATTTTCACATCAACTAATTTGAGTAAAACTGAAGATTTTCTCATCTAAGTTCTATTATTAACTTTACTTTCATGTTCTATCAAACTCAGTTTTGTCAAAATTTTGGAAATTGTTCTTGTGTTCATTGAGATATTGATTAAAATCGTACTTTTCAGAAGGGGTGTACTCATTTATGCTGAGCACTGTAGCTTAGCGAATGTGGTGACAATTCACTTTGTAAAAATTACCCAATCATGTGCAAGGAAAATAACAGCATTTTTACTTGCAAGTGATTGGATGATGGATATCAGCAGAGCTTCACCTCTGAATTTACCATTGACCCAAAGTTGGACCACTCCAGTGTCAGAGTTCCAAGTCACACAGATATGTCTACATCCCAAATGATGGAAGTGAGCAAAGCTTCACCTCATACACTAGAGGAAAAATCCCTTGCAAAGTGAACAGCCTCTTTGCCTTTAGTAAATCAGCGCCAATGTGTATATTATAGGATGATTGCATTAAGATTTTGGTTGGATGAGAACTTCCCCTTTGATTTCAAAGACTAGAGATGTACAATTAATGATATTTCCATGGAGAAGACCAGAATTGACCTTTTGTACATCTTGTGCTGTCAGGAAATAATCCCACATGTGGACGTCACTTAATTCACCAACAAATGAATGAGAAGCATCAAACCCTCCACCAAAAGAGTCTTGGTCTTGCCCCAGAACAATGCTGGTCTCAGCTGCGATAGAAGACCTTTTACTGGAGACTCTTCTGGGGTAGAGTTTCCCATGGACCCAAAGTTGGACCACTCCAGTGTTGGAGTCCCGGGTCACACAGATGTGCCTCCAGTCCAAAGACTCCGAGTCTGTCTTAAAATTAGTGACTTCCTGGTTGATGGATACAAAACAAATGTTTGGGGGCTGTAGGTAGATGAGAAAGGCGTTGTCCTTCCCGGGAGTAGCAAGAGAGAAGGGAGTATAGGGGCGGGAAAGGTCAGTATAGGAACGTAGACAGACGCTGACTTCCTGCAATGGTCTTGTAATTTCAGGTCTTAGAATGACATGAGCTGTGCTGGTTTCTTTGGGGAAGACGAAGACTTTACTCTCCAAGTCTAGGGAAGGAACCAGACAAAGATCATTACTGCTACAGATCAAAGCTTTAGATGATGAACTCTGAATTTATTTATAGATTGTAGAATTTAGAATAAAAAATCATTTGGATACCCTCATATATCTCAGTAAGGTCAGTATATTCCTTTTTGTTTTCTATATATGTGGCTTTCAGATCCAGTAACTGAAGTGTTTTGTCAGCTTACCTCAGTCATCTACTCAGTTGGCCAATCAAGGGACTTACCTTCATCTCCAAAATGTTCTACCAGCATCTTAATTAAAACGAAAACCCTAGTTGTAGAAGCATAGGAGTCAGTGCTGGGAGAAGGTCCCCTGAACGAAAATCAAACACTAATCTGCATGCTTCCCCCCAAGCATAAATTCCCCCTCCTCCCAGTACAAATCTATCCCGTACTGAAATTCCCCCTCCCAGCACAAATGCTCTCTCTCCCCATATGCCCCAGCACAAATCCCCCACCCCCAAAAAAATGTCCTCCTCCTTGCACAAATTTTCTATCCTTCAAATCCCCCCCCCCCCCCCCATTTCAAATCACCCCCCTCCAGATTTCCCCTTCTAGCACAGATACCCCCCCCCCCTCCAATTATCCCTACTAGTACAAATCCCTCACCACCAAAAAAAAATTTCCCCTCCTAGCACAAATCCCTTCCCACCCGCATCCATATCACCTTTTCTAGCATAAACTCCCCCCAAATCCTCCCCCCATACAAATCCCCCCAAATCCCTACTCCTAGCACACCTCCCCAAATTTCCCCTCTTAGAACAATTTCTACCCCCTGACACCCCCAAATTCCCCCTCCCAACACAAATTGCCTCCTCCCAATTTCCATGTGGTGCCCCCCCACCTCACATGATACTACAGTGCCCAGGGCAGCCGCCCCTCCTGCCCACCCCTTGTCCCGGCCCTGATAGGATCCCTAACACCACCAGGTGTCAAAACTCGCTGTCACATTCATGAATTCATCAGTAAACATTATATACAGTAAATGCATTTTATTATTATGTTAAAGCTGAACTCCGGGAACATGAAAACCTCCCCCCTCCCCCCACGCACACAGCACAAGGGTTAAGTACTGCATTTTGATTAAGGTATAAGAAACAAGCACTTTTACTTACCTTATCCCTCCCCCTGGCAGTCAGCCCTCATCTCTTCTCTTCCATGACCCATCTTGTGGGTGGACCGGCGTTGCCCTCACCCACAATGCAGGACTTTTGGAGCAGGCACTGCAATAGTATATCTTTCATTTCCCTGGAGCTCCACATTAAAAGGACTATTGTACTTTTGAGCGAATATCCTTTCATCTTTTAGATGTCAGCCATCTGTTTTCCACCACTGATGGACTATTAGAACAAAGAACAGTCACAGAAAACATGGAGTTTGCATGTAGATTATGTGTCTCTTGTTTTGTATCAGTTATGATACGGTATATGGTTTTGAGTTGGAAAAAAAAATTAACAATGGTATGGAGTCACAGGAAAAAAGTTTTATGTTAGGACTCCACAAATTCGTTAGGAATCTTGTTTACTGGTTGTCCTAGTTGCTCCATTGATTCCTTGTGTGATTTTTTTTTTTTTTTACCTATAATTGTTATTGTCACCTTTCGTTGTTGAGGTTCAAGACAAATAAATCATTTTCAGTGTATTTCTGTACTGAGAGTTGGAGCATCTTAACAATTAACAAAGTACATACAGTATAGTTACCATGAAACACTTACCCCATGAGAACATGGACTCCTTGCCATGTGATTTTTCACTTGTATTTGTCATTGTTGCCATCTTGTTGTTGATGTTCATGACAAATAAATCACCATATTCTGTACTGAACGTTGGAGGATCTTAATGATTAAAGTATATATAATTAAGAGGAAAGACTTACGCAAATTTTTTGGCTGGACAAGAACTTCCCCCTTAATTTCATAGAGAAGAGACTTCCAATTAATGATATTCCCATGGAGATCACCAGAGAGGACCTTCTGGATGTCTTCTTGTGTCAGGACATAATCCCACATGTGGATGTCACTTATTTCACCAACCAATGACTGCTTAGCATCAAACCCTCCGCCAAAAGAGTCTTGTTCCTGTCCCAGAATAAGGATGATATCTGTTGTGATAGAAGACCCTTTACTAGAGAATCCTCCAGGGTAGGGATTTCCATTGACCCAAAATTGGACCAACCCAGTGTCAGAGTCCCAGGTCATACAGGTGTGCCTCCAGTCTAGAGGCTCTGGGGTTGTCTTGATAACAACGAGTCCATTATTTATATATACATTATGGGAGTCTGGAGGGTAGAACATGATTAGAAAGGCCTCAAAGTATTTTGAAGTAGCACCAGACAACAGAGCATAGCCGCGTGAAAGTTCACTGAAGGTACGTAGGCAGATGCTGACTTTCTGCAATGGCTTTGTAATTGTAGGTCTTAGAATCACACGAGCTGTGCTGGTTTCTTTGGGGAAGAAGAACATTTTACCCTCCACGTCTAGGGAAGGAAACAGACAAAAGCCCATTACTGTGACATATCAAAGTTCTAGATCAGAGGTCTCCAAACTGTGGCTGGGGGCCAGATGTGGCCCTTTTCCTACCTTTAACTGACCCTTGGGCACTATTCCTCAGAATGATACAAGGCACTATTCTTCCCACTGACACCAACAATGGTACACTACAGTTGCAAGAAAAAGTATGTGAACCCCTTGGGATTCCGTGGAGTTTTGCATGAATTGGGCATAAAATGTGCTCTGAACCTTCATCTAAGTCACAGCAATAGAAGAACACAGTCTGCTGAACATAATACTACACAAACATTAGATGTTGCCATGGTTTAATTGCACATAACATGTAAACATTCACAGTGCAGGGAGGAAAAAGTATGTGAACCTTTGGACTTAATAACTGGTTGACCCTCCTTTGGCAGCAATAACCTCAACCAAACGTTTCCTGTAGTTGTAGATCAGACCTGCACAACGATCTGGAGTCATTTTGGACCACTCCTCTTCACAAAACTGTTTCAGTGTAGCAATATTCTTGGGATGTCTGGTGTGAATCGCTCTCTTAAGGTCATGCCACAGCATTTCAATGGGGTTGAGGTCAGGACTCTGACTGGGCCACTCCAGAAGGCGTATTCTGTGCTGTTGCAGCCATTGTTTTGTTGAATGACTTGTATGCTTTGGGTCATTGTCCTGTTGCATCACCCATCCTCTGCGGAGCTTCAGTTGGCGGACAGATGGTCGTACGTTTTCCTGCAAAATGTCTTGGTAAACTCTGGAATTCATGTTTGTGTAGTATTATGTTCAGCAGACTGTGTTCTTCTATTGTTGTGACTTAGATGACGTTCAGAGCACATTTTATGCCCAATTCATGCAAAACTCCACGGAATCCCAAGGGGTTCACATACTTTTTCTTGCAACTGTACGTCCTTTTTTATCCCACTAATTGAGCTTTATTTTCGGAGGTATTTGATTGCCTGTGTTTTTTTTTTTCTCTTTTTTTGCTCTATAAAATAAAAAGACCAACAATTTTGAGAAAAAAAATTGACTTTTTGATATTTTTTTTTATAAGTTAACTTTTTCTAATTTTCACACACATTACAATAAACAGCAATGTGTACAAAAAATTGGAAACAAAGGAGAGAAAGAAACTCATGGATGAATAATACAGAAGAGCACACAATGTCAACTTAAAACTGTGTCATGGTAAAATGACAATCACTCAATCACAAATAGATGGATCAGACAAATCAGCGTTAGAAGTATCCCATGAGTCCCAAACCACCTCAAACGCAGGGACAGCAGCAGCATGGAGGGCAGTGAGCGATTCCATCATTCTAACTTCAATTTGTAACTCTCCTCAGTTCCTGTAGCGTGGGAGAATCCGCAGAGAGCCAATGCAAAGGAATGGTTCTTCTTAGCTGCTGTCAGGACAGTACAGATATCCCCCAAATGTCAGGACAGATATCCCCCAAATGTCAGAACAGTACAGATATCCTCCAAATGTCAGCACAGTACAGATATCCCCCAAATGTTAGGACAGTACAGATATCCCCAAATGTCAGAACGGTACAGATATCCCCCAAATGTCAGAACGGTACAGATATCCCCCAAATGTCAGGACAGGACAGATATCCCCCAAATGTCAGGACAGGACAGATATCCCCCCAAATGTCAGGACAGTACAGATATCCCCCAAATGTCAGGACGGTACAGATATCCCCCAAATGTCAGGACAGTAGAGATATCCCCCAAATGTCAGGACAGGACAGATATCCCCCAAATGTCAGAACAGTACAAATATCCCCCAAATGTCAGGACGGTACAGATATCCCCCCAAATGTCAGGACGGTACAGATATCCCCCAAATGTCAGGACAATACAGATATCCCCAAATGTCAGAACGGTACAGATATCCCCCAAATGTCAGAACGGTACAGATATCCCCCAAATGTCAGAACAGTACAGATATCCCCCAAATGTCAGGACGGTACAGATATCCCCCAAATGTCAGAACGGTACAGATATCCCCCAAATGTCAGAACAGTACAGATATCCCCCAAATGTCAGGACAGTACAGATATCCCCCAAATGTCAGAACAGTACAGATATCCCCCAAATGTCAGGCCGGTACAGATATCCCCCAAATGTCAGGACGGTACAGATATCCCCCAAATGTCAGGACAGTACAGATATCCCCCAAATGTCAGAACGGTACAGATATCCCCCAAATGTCAGGACGGTACAGATATCCCCCAAATGTCAGAACGGTACAGATATCCTCCAAATGTCAGGACGGTACAGATATCCCCCAAATGTCAGGACGGTACAGATATCCCCCAAAAGTCAGAACAGTACAGATATCCCCCCAAATGTCAGGACAGTACAGATATCCCCCAAATGTCAGGACAGTACAGATATCCCCCAAATGTCAGACTGGTACAGATATCCCCCAAATGTCAGGACAGTACAGATATCCCCCAAATGTCAGAACAGTACAGAAATCCCCCAAATGTCAGGACAATACAGATATCCCCCAAATGTTAGGACAGTACAGATATCCCCCAAATGTCAGAACAGTACAGAAATCCCCCAAATGTCAGGACAATACAGATATCCCCCAAATGTCAGGACAGGACAGATATCCCCCAAATGTCAGGACCGTACAGATATCCCCCAAATGTCAGGACAGTACAGATATCCCCCAAATGTCAGAACAGTACAGAAATCCCCCAAATGTCAGGACAGTACAGATATCCCCCAAATGTCAGGACGGTACAGATATCCCCCAAATGTCAGGACAGTACAGATATCCCCAAATGTCAGAACAGTACAGAAATCCCCCAAATGTCAGGACAATACAGATATCCCCGAAATGTCAGGACAGTACAGATATCCCCCAAATGTCAGGACGGTACAGATATCCCCAAATGTCAGGACAGTACAGATATCCCCCAAATGTCAGGACAGGATAGATATCCCCCAAATGTCAGGACAGTACGGATATCCCCCAAATGTCAGGACAGGACAGATATCCCCCAAATGTCAGGATGGTACAGATATCCCCCAAATGTCAGGGCAGGATAGACATCCCCAAATGTCAGGACAGATATCCCCCAAATGTCAGGACAGTACAGATATCCCCAAATGACCCCTTTTTGCAAAGCAGACAGTCCGACGTATTTCATAAGAGGCATGGTATATTTTTTGTAATTTTTTTGTCATAATTGACAAAAAATGAAGGAGTTAAAAAAAATTATTTCCACAATAGTTTTTTTTTACATCCTGTCACCAGTGCAGTACAGCGTCATCATATAACTGGTGTGGCGGTGATCAGGGACACTGACTGGTAACAGTATGAAAAAAAATTAAAATTCACAATTTTTTTTTAATATTATTTATATATTTATTTTTTTGTTATTTTTTTTTTTTTTTTCGCTTTTTTGTTACGATCTTCTGTTCATATTACACTATGACCAAAGTATTACGTTGGGGAAGTGATCAGTATTTATTTATTTTTTTACACAATATGATTGCTTATATCAAATAATTTATTTGCTATACACAAGCATTTAACTGAATGAAATCGGTTCATTTTTGTTGTGATTAGCTGTGATTGGCCATGGCTAATCACATGACACAGATGGGCTGCGATTGGCCCAGTCTGTGAATGTGATTACTGTGACCGATCACAGCTAGTGACACACTTGTATACAATGGATGGCATGAAAGGAAGCCATTGTTTACAACTCTCATGTGACCTGCTGTGATTGGACACAGCAGGTCACATGGTACTGGCAATGGGCCAGTACACAGATCTGTCATCGGTCGTGTCCGAGGTAAACAGATGGTGACAGATCACGCCACAGCGCAGCCCTGTGGGCACACGCAAGGCACGATCCGGGAAGGACGTCATATGACGCCCACCCAGATCGACAAGAGTCCTGCCTGGCCGTCATTTTCCTATTGGCAGGGCGGGAAGCGGTTAAACATGTCCAGTAAAAAAATTCAAATTTTGTCATAAATTTTGGCCAAAATGTCTCCCGCTCCGTGTCTTTGCTAACAAAAAATTCCAATACGTGTAAATCAATTGGTTTATGTGAAAGTTATAGCGTCTACAAATGGCGGTATATATACTGGGAATTTCAATTTTTTACTAGTAATGGGGATGATCAGCGACTTTTAGCAGGACTGCTGGACTGCAGCGGGCATTCTGACACTGGGGGGGGAACTGACTTGGTGTCACTGACATCCCCAGTGACACCAACACAGTGATCAGTGCTAATAAAAAGCGCTGACATTGTACTAATGGCACTGGGCAGGAAGGAGTTAACAACATCTGGGGCCATCAAAGGGGAAACTGTGTGCTGGGAGTGTTTCACTGTATGCATGCTGCTATGCAGAGCCATAGAAAACAGTGTGCAGGAGCTGACTGTACTGTACTGTTTACTTACAGTTCTCTCCCTCTGTCGGTAATGCTCCTCGATTATGGGGTGACGGAGTGTAATCACCGGCCGGGTCCCGATGATTGACAGCCGAGGTCGTGAATAGTGGTGCGGGCAGGTCACAATGGCAGATCCAGCATGCCCCCTGCTCAGAAATGCAAAATCACCTATACATGTGTGATTTTGCGCACCCCTGCCACCTTGTAGCAGTATATCTGCTATAGGGCAGCAGGAAAGTGCTTAATATTACTATAATATGGATGTTGTAGGGTTGTGTGGACCTCCGGGTCTTCATTCAATCCATTTGGAGCCAATGTGTCCAACGTAACAATACAAAAGGTTTCTCTGTTGCACAACCCTTGGAATCTTTCAGCAAAAGATCCTCCCTTAGCCATCGCTTCTGCCATCCAGACCGTGGGTGTGCTCTTTGGGTTTCAGTGTAAAGTGCCTTGGGACTGTGTGTTCTACATCACCTTGGGACTGTGTGTTCTACATCATCCTTGGGACTGTGTGTTGTTCTACATCATCCTTGGGACT